AACTTTATGATGTCCCAGTTACATCCCAATTTGAATTTTCTAGGGGTATCTAATATGTGCATCAAATTATGTGTATCAAATTAATTAGGACCCACTTCTACTACACATTTCCAAAATACTTTCACATTTATAATCTCACTTTAACCCTAGCACAAACCTGTGAGATAGGACGGGCAAATATTTTTGTTTCACTAGACGTATTAGTAAACTTAGGCATAGAGAGATTAAGTTAATGGCAGAGCCCAGATCTCTTGACTGTCATTCTTGGGCTCCTACACTAAATTAAACTGGATTAATCTTTTAGGCTATGTGTGAAAGGGTACACAACTGGATCCTTTGTGAAAAAAATAACTAGGCAAGTTATGTTAAAGTATTACAGGAGTAGATAAAAGAAAGTTCTGTTTCCCTTGTTGAGGATTTGCCTTTGATTCCCCCTGTGAAATGGATTAGAATGTTTTGTTAGGATTTAAGAAACATACAAACTCAGAAAGGTACATCTCATAGTCTTTAAAGTGGATAATTTCTCCTAGGACTTCTTTACAGTTCTGAAAATTCACTTTATTATTACTCTGTAATAGGTTTGTGGCTTTAAATGCCATGGCATCTGAATCTAACTTTTATTGGTGATATTTGTGGTTATCACTTTCCGCTGTCATCCTCTCCCATTTCCTTTGTTTTTTTCCGTAGATACGATTTGATTTATGAATGAGGGCTTTTTGATTCTTCAAGATATATTTTGCTGAATTTGTTCAATAACTTGTTATTGAAAAGCAAAATCCATCAGGGACATATTTGCCTACTTCCCCTAAAAAGAAATCTCTCATCGAGATCAACTGTTTATTCATCAATCATGCCACGTTTCTGTATGTATGTTATGAGGGCATATCCAAATATTTTGTTTGTTAAATATGTCCGCAAAAGCAATCATCTTAAAAAGCCAACTTCAAGACTGCTTCTAAAATTTGGAAATTAAACAAGTGTCTTAATCCATGAGATAATAAGCCCAATGTAATTCAGATTCTGGCTAAACTTGCAAGCAGATGCAGAATAGGCTGGCAGGGCAGACTGAAAGAGGCCCTAAAAATGAGAAAGGAATTTGAGTTTGGAGATGCCCTTTTACGTCACAACTTTGATGATCTCATACTTCTCACTCTCTCATACTTCTCTCCCTTCGTCACTCTGAGAGTTCTTAATGTAACTTTAGGGTCATACCCCTAACCTCCTTGAGAGCTACCTCTGAGGCATCATTCAAGCCAACTGCCCCTCCTACCCATTGCAGAAGCTCAATTCTTTGGCTGCATGCAGTCTAACTTTTCGCTTTCCTGTGAGCATTTTTAGTTCCTTTGCATGACTGTTAAGGTTTAGTGTCTCAAAAACTGGGAGTTGCAATGAAGAACTGCTGAACCCCCATACACCTGCCTAACTCTTCATCCACACATTTATCATTGGGTGCTTTTTTGTCACACTGTGGCCATATCAGAAATAGAAGCTGTCCTGTTCCTTCTTGGCACTAACATAGAAGATTCAATGAGCCAAAGTAAAAAATTTGCTTTCTGTCTGCTGGATACATTATTCATATTCAATAATTATATTGAATTGGACTCTTTCCTTCCATGTGGCAGACACACTGTGTTGTTTTTTTTCCCCAGAAAATATAGCTTTCATGCAGCTCTTCTCTTTTTCCCCAAGGCATTTGACACCTGTCTGCCCATTTGTCTTCACATCAGGATCATCTGGAGAGCTTTGAAAAACACCGATCTTGAGTCCATAAGTCTGGGGTGAGATTCTGGAATCTTTTGTCTATAAAGCTCAACCAATGAATCTTATGCTCAGCCGGGTTTGGGAACCACTCTTCCAAAGCATGTGTGTCAGGAGTCCCCAAGACTACCCACAGGTTCAGTGATTCCCTAGGAGGAATCACAAGACTCAGCATGTAGTGGTACTCCTGGGTATGATATATTACAGCAAAAGGATACAAAGTACAATTAGCAAAGGGAAAAGGGACATGGGGTGAGTCCAGAGGAAACCAGGCATGAGCTTCCAAGAGTCTTCTCCCGGTGTAGTCACCTAGGATGTGCTTAATTCCTCCAGGTTGGAATTGTGACAACATGTGTGGAATGTTGTCTACCAAGAAGCTCATTAGATACTCAGTGTCCGAGATTTTTATTGGAGGCTGGTCACAAAGGCGTCTTCTGCTTAGTACAATCCAAACTTCCAGACACCTAGAAGAGAAGCTAGTGTTTGGCATAAACCACATTGTTTCTACCTACGGTTTAGGCACAGTAAGCTACTCTTACCAATTAGAGAACAATGGGAACTCTTCTCAAATCCAAATCCCCAGATGCCAGTGAAGGGCCAACCTTGTAAATAGACCTTTTTTGATGATAGCAGTCTCAGGCCTGTTGTGTTAACTTTTTTCTGCATAGTATGTTAATCAAGGTTCTGTATTGAGTAGGAAGAGAAACATCTAGATGAAAATGGAGAGTCAGTTGATGAAAAATGAAATCCTGTTCCCTGAGGATTTTAATAAAATTCATGCCCTGACTTGAATAGGAAGCAGGCCATGAATGCAGGGTATGGACCACCTGACTCTACAAGACCATTTAGCCCTTGGCTCTAGTCTGGGTTTAGAGAAGAAGAGATAACTGGCTTGTAGATGCAGGTGTCCTCCAAGATCACAGAGACATTGGATCAACATGCAGATACTTGCTCACCTTTTATGTTCTGTTCCCCCTTCCAGTTTTCCAAATGGGATTGCTTCTTCTCTAAATTCTAGAAAGACACAATTTTAAGTAATGAGATTGGATGATCAAAGCCTATTTCACATCCAAGTCACTGAAAGCTATGAATAGTATGACTCCCCTTCAAATCCCCAAAAAGAAATCATAATTTTGAAACTCAACCTTGTGAGCCAACAGGAATATTCTTAGGCATGCATTCTTTGTTAGCAATACTTGGTATGACACTTTAATTTTCTGCAACCAGAGGCATCGCCCAGCATCTACCCTCCCAAGATTACCTGGCAGAATAGAGCCGTCTGCTTTCGGGCATGTGGATGGCAAGATAAAAGGGGAGAGATGATTGTTTATTCTTATGGGAAATTTCCAGATGGAGACTAGAAGTTTTGAGCATTTCATTATTCAGCTGTGCTTCATTATTCAACTTGCACATTTTCTTCCTTCTCAACAATTAGACTTTCTTTTAAGTTCGTTCCTATCTATTTACTTTTATTCAGTTCACTTATTCAGGTGAATGGGGGAACAGCATGTCCCTTGTACAAAACCCTTCTGGAAACTAATAATGAATGTCATTATCATTCAGCCTTGCTTTTCAAGGTGCAAAAGCTCCTTCTTATTGGACCTGTTTTCCATGATTTTAATCACTTCTGTCATTTTTCTTTGACTCTTTTCCCGTTTCTGTACTTCTTAAAAGTGTGGTGGCGAAAATTGGACTCTATGTTTTTCAACCCAAATATACTAAGGTCTGATATGAATCTAATTTCTCTACAAAAATTGTTGAAAATAATATGTATTTTATATATATATGTTTTTTAATTATTCAAGAAAACATGAAACATGTATTCAAATGTTCTTTCCTTCTTCTTTAAAGTCATTGGTACAACGTATAAATTACATTGAGTATATATTGGGTATAATTCCCTGTCTGTTAAGACTCAGTTTTAAAAATGCCTATTAAGAAGCAAGGATCTTTGGCAGTAAATGTATTGTGGACTGATCAAAATTAACTATGGGCCAGGAGCTGAGAAGAACTGCTCTATATGTCTAAGAGTAACACACAACATTGAAGAAGGACCACATCTCGATCTTGGTTGTCAAACTGCCCCCAACTACAGATTGTCACTATACTTGCTTGGCCCTGAAAGCCCATACTGAACTTCTTTTCCTAGTGCTTCTATCCTGCATTGCCTACTTGTTTTCAGCTTGTAGTCTACTGTAATCTCTAACTCTTTTCTGGTATGTGCGTTTCTCCATTTCTCCCTGTCTTTCATTTGAAATTAACCCTCTGTCATTTACTTGTTATTGAATGTCTTCATATATATGACTTCCTATATTGAGAATATTGATATTCTCAATATCAAGATAATTAAAAATTATATTTCCATGACTTAGAATATTCTCAACTCTACCAAGTTTCATGTCTTTGGGAAATTTGATGAGGTTAGTCTTGAAATATTTTCACCCCCAAAATTATTATTTTGAATAAAATGAGTCCTGGGACTGATCTGGGTAGGTAGGCTACTTGGGGCAGGTCTGAAATGTTAGGAGGTTTTATTGAGAACTCTAATATTGTAGCCTACATAAATTTCAAAGTGATACAAAATCTAAGAATTTTTTTTCCCAAAGTGTATTCTGAAACTATAAAAGTATCATTCAATAAAAACAAAAGAGAATTTCAAAAACAATAAAGAAGGCTTGGAAGGGAATCTCTGATGTTTTCTGAGAATTGGGTCTTTCAACATCACCATGCCCAGTTGCTTAACTGCAAGGCAAGTGTTGTAGTGCAGTGATGTCAAAGAAAGGCATCAATTGTGTCACCAGTGTTTATCTTCCTTGGTAGGAAATAGTAGGGTGTGTGTGTGTATTATATGCCTACTGTCTGGGATTGGTGAACATGAGGACAGAATGTGAGCCCACTGAGTTTGTACTATGATGTATACCTTTTCCAAATGGGATCTTACAACACTCATTCTGTAGACGACCACTTGATTTGGTGGGTAGCTAATATGGTATATTTATTTCACAGTTTCACATCTTTACAGTTTTCTTTATATAATGCTTGAATGTGGTTTCAGAGAAGATATTTCCTTTTAAAACTTTTTAAAAAATCACAAATATACATGAACCGTACAACCACGTTCCACCTCTTTTAATTCCCCCATTCCCATTAGAAACATTTTGTTAAAAGTTCAGGTGATCAAACCCATAGAAACTGAATTGTGAGAAGTGTCATAATGGGAAAAAGAATGAGAGCCTGTGGTACAGGGATTTACAGAAGAGAGATGATCTTCCAAAGTCATGGTTTATTTCTGAAAGGAAGGAAAAAGACATACATATATCAGGAAAAGAAGCTAAAGAATTAAAGATGGCAAGGTTCTTTAAAATGATTGAGGCTGAACTGGAAGCATTTATCAAGACACACTTGCAAATCTCTACTTATGGTGCTGTTGGCTGCGCTTGACCAAGGAGCAGGGAGAGATGCACACTTGTGCTTCTTATGTTAGGGTGAGAGTGGCTGGACTTGAAAAAGACAGTGCACCTGCAGCCTGAACGTAGGTTCTGTAAGAAGCCCCATTATTACTCAGAAAGTTCAGGACTCGGGGCCCACAGTCCCCTGTTCATGCAGGATAAGCCACTCCAAGTAGTCCAGCTAGAAGGATCAGGGATCGGACCAAGGCCAAGCTTACTTGTGCTAAGTCTCTTGTTTCTGGGCAGTGCAGCTCATTGTCTAATGAGCATCATTCTTGGTCATTAGAGCATAGGGATAAAAGCTCCACGTGGAAGGATGCAGGGGGTCTGCTGCTGGCAAAGTGTTGCTCAGTGTCAGAGCAGCAGATGGAAATGAACTTGATTCTGCAAGTCTTGATGGCAACGGTCCATATTAAGACTTCTGGAATCAGTAAAAAAAAATTCTTCCATTTGCAAACCTGATGTGGGAAAAGGGCTTTAGCATTGTTTAGGACTGGTGTGCATATAATAGCAAAATGATAAGACATGTCAAATGGGGGAATAAAGGCCCAGAGCCCTTCTAGTTTGGAGAATCCACTATATCTTAGAAACAAGGGATTTATGTTTGAGATTATTGATCCACCAAATTTTTCTTCACTTAAACATTTGATTTTTCAGTGGTAGGACTTAGTTGGAATTTGGGGACAATTCTCCTGTGCTATGAAATACTATATTAAACACGCATCTTCGTACTGAGTTAGTGCAGTGACTTCTAGTGAATTGACTTAGGCCCACATTTCCACATTTCATTTTGATAAAAAACAAAAACCAGAAAATGTTACTCCCTGAATAGACAACAATGCATTTTATAAGCACTGCAGAGATTTAGTAAATGGCATGTATGATTAATTTAGAAAAACCCCTGACACTTAAGGGCTACTCAATACATGTGATGGTCTCCTCACTTTTTATATGAGGTAAATGCAGATCAGGGAGCCACTGAGCAAATAGTCAGCCCTGGGGAGGTTTGTAATCTTGGGCTTCATGGGGATGTCCTTCGTAAAGATAAAAAAGGAATGAGCTGATGTTTCTATTACAATTCTCTGTAATACTAGGACTTCTACACAGCTTAAATAATGGTTGGAGGTCCATTCTTTGAGGAGAAATGCTCAAATGTTATTTTGGTAACTTGTAGCACCATTGGGTTAGGGTGCACACTTGGCTTAGAATACCATCTACATCATTACCTTGTTGAGTTGAAGACCTATGGCATGCAAACAATTCAATATACTTTCAAAAATACATGTAGTATGCCCAATAAAATACATTGGCTAGCATAAAAATCAAAGGAAATAGTAGTTTGGAATATCGATCAACATTACTGGGGTTTTGAATTGTGAAATAATCAACAATCCTGCCTATCTTATCTCGGAAGACAAACTTGAACTTGTCACTGGTTTTCATTGTCAGGTCGCTGTAGTCAACGTTATCACCAGAAATTTCAATGCTGGCAAAGCTGATCTTCCGTTTAAAGCTGGAGATGGAGCTGTTGATGATGTTAGCAATATTGACTTCTTCTACTTCCTTTGTCGTCCCCTAGTTCACAGACAACGCAGTTAGCTTGAAAGACTTGATTCAGCAAAATAAGTAAGTGGGTATTTACATACTTAGAGATCTAAGTATTGAATAATTAGGTTTAATATAGAGTAGCATTGAGTGCCTCAGAGATTGGCTGGTAGGCCAGACTTAGCAGTCCTGTCATCCTGATTGTAGGCACCCATCCCCAGGGTATTATAACGGGAAGAATAACCATTGCCCACTCTAGATATGCAGAACTGTGTGCTAAATGCTAAATGCTCAGTCTTTGAAGTCAGCTGATCTGGGTTCAAATTCCATTCTGCCTCTCACTATTGTGCAACTTTAGTCACCCTAATCCCTTTAAGACTTGATTTCCTTTCCTGCAAAATGGTGATGATATTAATACCTACCTCATGAGACTGATGAGAAGATTAAATGGTATTAAACTATGTAAAGCATTTAGTAGGTGTTTGATGAATTCCATTCTGTTCCAGGTAGGAGGGAGTAATTGATTACAAGAGATAATAGAAACCAGCAGTGTCTTAAGGTCTTTGCCACACAAGCAGAAATAGTGATGCTCCCTGAAACCAGGGAATTGCCATTCTCCAACACGGCGAGGGTGACATAGCATGTGGGGAATGTAGTGAAGTCAGAGAGAGTGGAGTTTGGATCCTTGGCCAGGCCACTTATTAGGTGTGGGGTCTTGGATGAGTTACTCACCTCTCTGAGTGGCAGATTCCTCAACAGTAAAATTGGGATAATAATGGTACCCACCTGATGGGTTTTTGGGTGGACTAAATGAGATGTTGATAAGTTGTTTAGCACACAGCAAGTACTCTGTAGTGAAGCTATTATTATACACATGGCAAAATAAGGGCTTTCTAGTGTCTTCAGTGAAGGATTTCAATAATTCTCCAATCCCCTTTTTGGCAATCTACCAAATCCAGATCTTTCTTTTCTTCTTCTTCCCTTTTTTTTTTTTTTTTTTTTGCAATTAACCATTGTCCCCTTAACAAAGCCTACAGAGAGTAAAATAAATGAAATCCACATTCTTCTTTGGTGTGCATGGAAGATCATTTGCCTTTGGTACTTGTGTAAATAACTGTGTGAAACATTGTTCACGATAGTCAAACACAGGGGAAAAGGCAGCTGGATCTCTGGGCTATTCTGATTCCTCATCTCCTCACTATCAGACCCTGTGTAGTCCTGGCATTTTGCTAAAGGTGGGCACCTCTGCTGTGCTGGATCCCTATCATTTTCTTGCTTGTTAGCATGAGCTTTAGTATGCCAACGTCTACCAAATTGGGCTTCCAGAGAATCCCCTGGTTCCATGGGCCTGTAGAGAATAATAGTTAAGAGCATGGCCTATTTCCCACTGCAAGTGGGAATAATAGATAACTGTTAGGCTTTGGAGCCAAGCAGATTTAGGTTTGAATCCCAGCTCTACCTCCTACTATCTGTATCCCTGGGATAAGTCATTTACGCTTCCCATACCTCAGATTCCACAACTGCAAAAATGGAGATAGACTTACTGGGTTGTTATGAGCATTTTAAATCATATAATATTTGCAAAGGGCTTGTTGCTGTGTCTGGTGCATGTAAATGATCAATAGATAATAACCACTATTATTTATTCTAAGAGCCAGACCACAGTGTTTCATTGCTAAATCAGATGATGACAGTCTTTCCCAATTAGCAGAAAAATATGCTAATCAAGAAATTTGCCACAATTTAATTTTTCCCATACATTTTTCAGTAAACCATTACCTGTATAATTTAAGAAAACAAGAGTGCAACAAAGGATTTAATAGTAAATAGATATTAATCTGAAACTTGTAAGCAGCTGATCTCATTTGGTTTGATATTGGGTTTTTCATGGATGCTTGTTCTTGTGGTTGCAATTTTATGTTGCATAACAGATAACATAGTTATTTTCTGCTGGAAAATTAAATGTATTAATATCTCATTCGTATTTGGCAAAAAGAGAAGTCTTTTTCAAAAGGCGTCATGACTTCCAGATGCCCTCACCTGAACAAAGATGAGAATCAGTGGAGTAAAGTGATTCACTGTGGGGCAGGAACCAGGTCCAGTTCATCTCTACAGACCAGCACATGGCACAAGTGATGAATCACCCAGGGCCCTCAAAATTCTTACCCTATCTTTGGCTGCCATCTGCTGTAAGGAGCTGTAGTGGGCAACTGCGTATTCCAGTAGGGCCCCAAACACGAAGCTAAAGCAGATCCCCAGGTACACATCGATGGCCTTTATAAAGCAGTTGGTGTTGGGAAGAGAAGTGCGGGACCCAATCATCAGTGTGGTCATTGACAACACGGTGGTCACTCCTGGGAAAACAGGAAGGCAATGTTCCCATGTCAGTGGCCAGTGAAGCTTCCACCATCACTTGGCAGACTGTCTTCATTCAGGGGTTGGCAAAGCAGGGACAGGACTCAGAAACAGAACATAGCTCATTTTGAAAAATCTGTGGTCTTCTCGAACAGGGTTGATTTGTTCATTTTGTACAGATATGAGTGATATGGTTTTCTAAATGTTTTGCTTTTTGTCTTTTTGTTGGAGGGGGCCGTTCAGTACACAAAATAACTGACAAGAGACCATGTAATCACAATTCTCCCTTCTCTCTCACTGTAAAACATCAGTTTAAAAATACACTACTGGGCCGGCCCCGTGACTTAGTGGTTGGGTGCTCGCGCTCCGCTGCTGGCGGCCCGGGTTCGGATCCCCGGCGTGCACCGACGCACAGCTTCTCCAGCCATGCTGAGGCTGTGTTCCACATACAGCAACTAGAAGGATGTGCAGCTATGACATACAACTATCTGCTGGGGCTTTGGGGGAAAAAAAAATAAATAAAATTAAAAAAAAAACAAAAAAATAAAAATAAAAATAAAAAAATAAAAATACACTACTCCTAGAGCAGTCTCTCTCAATCTCTGTCTATCTCTCTTTCTCTCTCTGTAAAAGAATCTCTCAAGAAACCAATTCCTGGAACTACCCTGTGAATATCAACGAGAACAATGGCTGAAGGAAAAGAAAAAAAGGACCCGATGACACAATTCTTAGAAACCTCCTGTGGCTGCTGCTTACCAATGCAGGTTCTTGCAGGAACTGAATCGAGGGAGATCCAAAACGAAACCCAGGATAACACCACCAGGAAAGTGGAAGGAACATAGGTTTCCAAAATGAAATACAGGACATTCCTCCGAAGTTCAAATTGCAAGACCAATCGCGTATAATTTCCTGATAGGGTAAACAAGAGATAGGAAATCGTGTCTGCTCACATAGCAGCGTGGTTTCCCTATGGGATCTCTAACTTACCTATATTCACATTAAGCCATCTGTTATTCACCAAAACCTAGTTAATCGTGAACTGCCATTACAGTTTCAATGAAAGAAAATGCTGTTGTACAGAGTGGAATTTACATAGGGTGCTGATGTCTGCCACCCATGTTCCTCTTCTTGTGCCTTTCTCTGTCATAGCACCCCTGCAGCACTGTAACTGCTGGTTTCCTTGACATCTACCTCACTGGACTGTGAGCCTCTTGAGGACCATTTCAGCACTGGGTGTGGAACAGGTACAAGTGCTGAGCCCAAACCCTACTGCGGAGGGGCTTCTGGGCCCCAAAGGGATAACGTGGAGAAAAAAATCTGTTTCGGACTCAGAATGCAACTCAGTTATTCTGACTTTGTACAGTTTGTCCCACAAGTTACCTGTTTCCTGCTGTGTTCTGGTAACTAAGGTGAAATACCGTTGAATGGTGTACTGAGCAAGCCGCAGGTTTTCTAGCCCGCGCACAGAGTCGTTGCCTCGCAGCCAGCTGAACTCCACGTCATTCCCATCATAGCCCCCTGGCAAATAAAACAGTGCCCTGGTCAGTGCAAGAAGGTTACAGATTGAACTGGTCTGGAAAATGCCGCGATATGGAGACAGCGTGAGCTCTGTCTTGATGGTGATAAGTCCAAGGATGATTCCATGCAAAACCTGGCATAGTTTCTCGAGTGTAATTGCAGAGTCTACTCAGAATGAAGCGACCTGCTAGGGCTATTTGCTATCAAGTGAGAACTGGTTCTATGCTAAGCATTGTATAGACCTGGTAGATGAGAAGCCTCTAGAAGTGGTGGCCCTCATTATTTAAATGATATTTATTGAACACATATCTGTGAACACACAAAGGACTATGCTAGACATTGCCTTTTCAGCATAGTTTACCAGTTCTGATGGTGTTCTCAGGGACTTTGCAATTGGTCTGTTCATATTTCCACATTGACTTAAATGCAAAAACAAAGACAAAAACCTTGTACCCAGCCACTTTATTGATGTCTGTAAACATAATAATTTGATAAATCTCAAAGCAGTTTTACTAATATAGTTGATAATAGTAATAATAGCCACCTTTTATTAAATATTTATGTTAAATCCTTTACACATTGTCTCTAATGTTCTCACAAACTAGCAAGGTAGACATTTCTATATTTCTTCACTTATTTTTTTACATTTTTTTTACGTTTTCTGAAATTGGGATGGATTTTATAGTTGATTTATATATAGATAAAGTAGAGCTTACATTTCTTCCTAAAAAATTATTATTCAACAAATGTGCCTTAGAATTGAGGAATGGTAATGTTTTGCCCATTTTATATGTGAAAATGCTCAGATTCAGAGAGGTTGCATAACTTTCTCAGGATAACAAGGCAAGTAATAAACAAAGCCAGGATTGTACCTCAGGGAAGTTTAATCCCAAAGCCCGTGGATGATGATGATAATAACGATGTCTATCATTTAGTAAGCAGTTACATTTCTAAGTGCTTTACAACATTATCATCTCATTTAATCCTCAAAATATCTCTCTGAGAAGATAGATGAATGGTTAATACGCACATGAAAAGATGCTCAACATCATTAGTCATTAGAGAACTGCAGATCAAAACCACAATAAGACCACTTCATACGCATAAGAATGACTATAACAAAAAAGATAGGCAATAACAAATGATGAGAATGTGGAGAAGCTGGAACATTGCTGGTAGGAATGTAAAACGGTACAACCGCTTTGGAAAACAGTTTGACAGTTTTTTGAAAACCTAAACAACAAGTTACCATTTGACCCAGGATTCCAGTCCTAAGCACCTGGGGGGCCCAAGAGAAATCAAATCATGTCCACAAAAAGACTTGTACACTGGGCCGGCCCTGTGGCTTAGCGGTTAAGTGTGCGCGCTCTGCTACTGGCAGCCCGGGTTCGGATCCCGGGCGCGCACCGACGCACCGCTTCTCCGGCCATGCTGAGGCCGCATCCCACATACAGCAACTAGAGGGATGTGCAACTATGACATATAACTATCTACTGGGGCTTTGGGGAAAAAAAGGAGGAGGATTGGCAATAGATGTTAGCTCAGTGCCAGTCTTC